CAAAAATTTAGTTTAAAAACCAAAGAATTTCTCTGATTCTCTGGTTTCAACCAGGAGAAAATTCAGTTTAAAAACTAGAAAATTTCTCTGGTAGACCCAAATCTTCATTACAATGACTGTTATCAAACTTTTCATTATTTTGTTCACAAAACATGAAAATGAAAACAATACCCAAAAAATAATTTGAATGCCACTGCAAACAAAATTCCTAGAGTCACCACTACTGACACTCTAAGATTCTTAAGAGATACTCTAACAGAATTCTCCATCTTATTGAGTGAATTCATAGTATCAGAATTTCTCTAACTTACTGAGGATCGCGCTTGAGTTCTTGTTTGTAGCCGAGCTGGTTGAGGCGAGCATGGCCTGAATCGAGTGTTGTGTCACCGTTTTGAATCTGCGATGGGAGTGCCATGTTTTCTTCACCACGACCCCAAACCATCTCTCTCTCTCTCTATATATATATATATATATATCTCCAACCTCATTGGAGCTCTGTTGAATCTTCTAATCTGCAGAGAGGCTGACTTTTTATTTGGTGTGTGAAATGGAATCTGATTTGATTAATCTCCATCTATCAGCATCATTGTGCCACAATTCCGATCAGAGACGATGCTTCTCCCCCTCTTCTTGGGGGCTCTCTGCTGCAGCTGCGGCTGCGGCTGCAGCTGCGGCTTTAGGATTGGAGTAACAAAAGGACAATCTGAATCAGAATGAGAATGCTCTGATCATACTCCCACCTCGCACCTCCTTCGACTCCATCTTCCCCGGTGTTAAACCCTAACTTCCATTGATAAGTAACAGAATAAATAGAATACGATGAAGATGAGAGAAAGAGAGCACGAGATCGTAGAGCCGCCCAATCAGATCACACCCACAATATATATATATATATAGATCATAGAGCTCAATCGGCTGGAGAATGAAGTCAGGGGTGAGGAACAAGAGTTGATCTGGACGGATCTGAGAATGGAGAAGTTTAGAGAGAGAGAGACATGAGTTTTGATTTGGTAAGGTCAAATTTCTCTGTGATATGTTCAGGGATCTTAAACATCAAAAAATTTTTTTGTAGATCTCTTCCATTACGAAAAGTGGGAGAGGGACCCTTCACTAATTTTCTCAAATTTTAATTGGTCCAGCCATCACAACAAGGCACTCAACACTAAGAAATTATTTTTTGTTCCGAAAGCAATGTCACGTGATACTCTAACTTAATATTTATTAACTTTTGTTTGGAATGTGAATTAATTTTTTTATTTTTTTTATTTTTTTAACTATTTTAGTTTGGGGTTAAAAGGCCTAATTTGAGATAGAGTTTTTGACTTTTTTCACCTTTGTGAGAAAAAAAATGAAATGATTATGATTTGAATGTGATTTTTGTCTTATTAAACTAAAAAGTTTATTTTATCTTTTTGTAATTATTTTAACCCAAACCTTATATGCCAACCGAAGCCTTAATTAAAATTGGGAGGCTTAATATTTTTTTATTAGAAATTTGAGGAACTTCTTGATAAATGTTAAGGGTTTGTTTGGTAACGTTTACGTTTTCAGTTTATATTTACAAAAATTTTATAAACTGGTTTTTGTTTATTTTTTGTTTATTTTAAGAAAAACATATATTACAAACGCGTTTGGTAATTGACAAAATGTTTAAAAAAAATTTAAAATATAAAAAAGAGTGAGAAATGGCAAGTGGTGGCAAGTGGCGGCAGAA